TTTATAAACAAAATTTAAATAAATTTACATTTATAAAGTTATTATTTTTAATTTCATTTAATAAAAACATTGTTAATTAGTTCTTAAAATAGAAACAAAGAATTTTTATTTGCTTATTTAAATTTAATGATAACTAAATAAAATTGGTTTAAATTTCCTTATTTATATAAAGTTTTCTTAATTATATCATAGAAGTTTATTAGATTCTTTATTTACTTAACTTTTTTACAGAAAAAATTTTTGAAAATTTTTATATAAAGATTTTTAGAACCTGTTTTATCAATAAAATCTGTTATTTATATTGAAATACTAGTTTTCAATCTTTAAATTCGTTATTTTAATAAAAACTACAATAAATTATTGTTATATGTTTTTAAATCTTAATATCTTACTTATAAATAATATAATACCATTTGTAAAGTAATCACTAGTTAAAAATCTGATCAATAAAAAATTTTAACAAAAACGAGATTTTAAATTCTAAGATTATATAAATAACTATATTAGCTTTTAACTAAAAAACATTCTTTAGTAACAATCTATAATAAATTAATTGATTAAATTCTTATTAAAATAAATAATCCTTTTCTTAATAACTCATTTTATTAAGATTGAAAATGTTGTTTTTATTGATAAAAATAAAGTTGAACATTGACGTTACCATTTAAAGAAACTATCATAATATTCCTGTAATAACTATAAATTCTACTCAACTTTTTCTTTTTTAAACACTTCATAAAAATTGATTTATTATGTTTCAAATTTTTATCTTTACGCTTAAGTCTATAAATATTTAATGTGATTTTTTACATACCCCAATTATGAACAGTTTCACGTTGAATCTAATATTAAGGATGTTCTACATGTGTAAGATTGATACAAGGAGTCTTTTTTCTATCAGATATGTATCTGCTGGATTAAATAATCCAATTAATAATTTTACTGAAGAAAAAGATTCTATGGTTAATTTCCAAGAAAGTTTTATTAAAGAAATCAAATGTGCAGTCCAAGAATATGAAGATTCTATTGTACAACAAATTGAAAGAATTATTAGGAAATTAGAAAAAGAGTCTATGTCGACACTGGAGGAAAATAAACTTATTAATATTGTGAAGAGTGTTGGGTCATTAGATGAGAAAATATTTAAGTTAGTTATGTTTACAAGTCCTGTCTACAATCATATTCTTGTTGAGTTTCTCAATGAAAATGACATTATGAAAATAGTTATATACTCAATATTATTGGGTAAGTCGGTTACGAGATTAATAAGTGTTCTTACTGGGAAATTGTCCTATTATGATTATTGTAATGAAAAATTCTGTTTTATACAATCAATAATTAAGTTTATTATAAGTCAAGTATCAGAAGAGACCAATAGAAAGTTTAAAATATTTAAAAATAAAAACAGTCAAATCAAAAAGTTTAAATACAAAGATACTTTAATCATTAGTACTTTTATTAAAGTAAAGAAAGTTAAAAATCATAATCTTAAAGGATATCTTTATGAATTAAGAAAAGCGTTTTATGAAATTAATAAACTAATAAATTCCTATGATGATAGTAAAATAGAATATTAATTAAAATTATTATTTATATTTTTTATTTATTTAAAGTTTTTTTATTAATAAAATATACTATTTGTATTATAAAATTACTACAATCATAATTTTATTGCTCTGATCAGTAATAAAAA